GGCAACGGCGCCAAAACTTGGTGGGATGTCAAGTCCACCAAGCAAATTACACCCTTTGTTTGCAAATAAAACGTAATATAATGGTAAAAAGGGGTATCGATCCTCGGGGAAATGGTTGTATTCAATCACCAATGCAATCTAAAAGAACTATTGTAAATAAACTAACTAACTACAATTAAACTAAAAGGGGGGGGGTGTTATGATTGCTTGAAAACTAAAAGACTTGAATAACTAAAAACTTGCAATTAAGCAAGAAAGTGAGATGCTCAAATATTAGAGAGAATTGGTAAACCAAGGCAATTCAACACAATGAACATTTGTGTGTTTATCATTAGGATTTAACATGAAGCTTATCATTCATCCTAAATTGGTTATAGCAATCATGAAGCATGATGTGCCAAGATTTCTCATAGGTAGTATGAAGGTTGGGGAAGCCCACAACACACCTTCTTAATCAAAATCAAAGATCCAATTGAAGCAATTGAACCCAAGAAGTTGATTAGCCTTAAGAATGAAGAAATCCCCAATTCCTAGAGGATATCAATGCTTACACATCCATAAAGGAGTTATGATTCATAAGCTAGAGATGATTTCTACCATCATAAATCCCTTGTTATAAGTAAATTCAATGACTCAATGCTAAACCAAAGAAATAAACCAACAATTGCTTATTAAAGTGCCAAGCTCATGATCAAAGCACTAAACAAGCATAGGAAATATGAACTAGAATCATAGACATAAAATAAATGATAAATAAGCATAAATCCTTCAAAAACCCACAAACATTAAGAGGTTTTAGCCAAGGTCTACCAAAATAGAGAGTTTAGCCACTCATGACAATAGAACAACAATCACAAAAGTCTAATTGCATAAAGAAACTACCAATAACTTGGAAAGATGAAAAGAAATGAGTCTTGAGCTCCAAAATCGCCTTCTTCTGGTCTCCAATGGTGTCAAAATCGAGAGTATGGCTGCTAGATTTGATCCCTCAAGGTTATGGTGTGCCAAATGACCAAAAATGCCCAAACTGGGTAGTTGCGCGGGTACCCGCGCGATGAAAATTCCACCCGCGCAAGTGTTGCTGTAATGCTATTGGTCCCCTTTTTCTCCACTCCACCCTTCCACTACCAAAGATTCCTTTGGTCCCCTCCATATCCATGTGATTTAAACCAACTAATCATCATTTAGCTAAATGGATGCTCCAAGCCCAAAAATAGAAGTTTATGACCCATCTTCACAAGCCCAAAATATCCAAGTCTTTAACTCTTAAGGTCCAAATCTCCTTTTATGGACCCGCCAAGCCCAACAATGCATCGGAAAGCCCACTAAGCCCAACTCCAGTCAAACCACAACCGCAATGAGCTCCAAAACCCTGCAAAATTCCTCATGCAAAATAAAAAGTCCCCGATACGATCCATGATAAAGAAAACAAAGAATATACAATGCAATACTAATAAAAAGAGCTAAAAATCTAAAATAAACTAATAAAAATAAGGAAATAAAATAAGCTATCATAGTCCTACAGATCTACCAGACTAACTTATCAATAACTAGCATATTCGTGCATATCTATTCCATACTCAACATATCAATAATTTCAGATTATCAAACCAAAGGGCCGACCTTGGTGCCTTCGATCCGAAAGTATAGTGAGGAAGACTCACCTCACAAAGTCGAACTGTACTGAAACCTCCGACTGCTGACTCACAGATAATCCCGAACTATCACAATAAACAAACACCCAATTGACAATTGGGACACTATTCTTGACTAAGGTCGAAACATAGGCTAATTGTCCATTTAACCATTTCCGAATTGGGCCAAGGCCCAAATCCAAATCTTTGATCCAAAAGGCCCAACTTACTTCAAGGCCTATGATTGGCCCAATTTTCCAAATTGGGCCTAAACCCCTTATTGGGCCTCATCCAAAGGTCCGATCCTCCAATTAGCCCAAAACACACTTATCCAGACGGTCATTAGGGACCAAGTATCAAAGCCCAACAGATGGCCTAATACCCGAAGTTGAATCCACACAGAAGGCGTACGCGGGGCGTACTCCGCCTCGCATTGACCACCATCGGGGTGGTTGACTCAGCATGCAAGGCGTACATCAACTTACGTGGGGCGTACCCTCGCAGGCCTTAAAATCCTTATAAGTGCTTAATGGATTAAGCACCTAAGATCAAACTTCAGATCTATGACTCAAAAGCATTGTAGAACCATAAAGTCTCAAACTTTAAGACTTTGGTCGTCCAAAAAGGGCTCAATGCATGGTCTTAATCCATTAAGACCTCTCACAAAGAACAAGGGACCAAACTAGCTCAAGGGACCTCATTTTTATGCCTTAGGTACCAAGCTAGGGTCTGAAAGGACAACCCAACATGATCAAAACAAAGCATGCACAATATTGGGACTCTTGGGACAAGAAGAATACCAAAAAGCAACCAAAACAAGATCTAAAAAATCCAAGCATAAAGGTAGGAGCTTTATATCTTATGAAGCTTCCCAAGAAGATGATAATCCCAGATCTACAAGCTTGCTTCCTTCCTTGACTCCTTTGATTTCTCCTTTTGGCACACAAAAGCACACTATAAGCTCACGATGCTCACTATGGGGGTTAGGGTTCTCTCAAAACAGCTAAGGGACTTGGAAGGTGAAAGAGTGAGTCAAAATGACCCATAATGATGCTTAAATATTCTTCAAACCCTAAAATTTAGGGTTTCACCCGGACACGCGTACGCCCTGCGCACATATGTGTACGCCCAACGTACTAGGGCATGCCCTAGTACGCTTAGCGTACCCACATGTACGCTCAGCGTACAACTCAAGCTCCCAAGAATTATCAATTTGCCACTAGGGCTTCTTAGGGCTAATTCCAACCAACATCAAGGACCAAAATGACATATTAAAATACCAAGGGAAGGATTTGAATATATCTGAAAACTCGGGATGTTACAAAATATATATATATATATATATATATATATATATATATATAAATCTACAAATTTATATATTTAAAAAAGAAAATTGATTGTGTATTTTATAATTTGTAAATCTAAAAAGATAATCTATTTTTTTTACAAATTTTATACATTTAAAAAAAAGCAAGTAATTTTTTTTATATTAATGAAGGAGAAAGTTCTAAATTTATGTTCGTGCTTCGGGACGGGGCTAATGATTTTTTTTCTACATTGTTTTGGTTAGTAACTGACGTGGAGAAACAAATGACATAGTGGTTTAGATGATACCAAATCATAGATGGATTGCATCAAAATCTATGACAAGTAGCGATCGACAACACAACATCTTCGTTGCCGATCTTAGAGGCTTCGTCGTCGTAGATATTTGTTTGGATGCAAAAAAAAATGAAGATGAAGAATGTTTATGAGCTTCAATTGGTATAATGGTAAACGAAGGAGGTGGTGGACATTGTAATTGAAGGAGAAAGACGATGATCCAATGACTGTACGCACATTTAGCCACAAGCCGATGAACAGTAACCAGGTAAGCTAATTACTATTCATAAGTTCGTGTATTTTTAATAGTATATATATATATATAATATTTATTTTTATTTTTCATATAATAATAATGAAATAAATATATTATTCATAAATCATATCGTTTTTTTATAGTTATATCAATTTAAAAAGGAAAAGAATAAATAAATAAATGTATGTAGTCGTTAAACAATCATTATGATATCAATATATTATTATTATAATATTTAAATATATTATATAATATTTATTTAATATACACAAATAAAAGTTAATAGAAGGTTATATAACAAAGTCTAGCGATATCAATGTGTTGAATATGTGTTCTTCCCTAATGGGTCGATGGTTCAAGTTCTGTCGTAGACAAAATAAATAGTTTATGAGTAATGGATGTGTTAGCCATTTAAATAAATGAATAAATAAATAAAAGGCTATATACAAATAAAAAATTAAAAAAATAGAGGGTTATATATAAATATGTAGGGTGTGTGTCTGATATAAATTATTTTAAAGGACAAATGACATATTAGCCCTACGAACTTGTCATGTTTGTTTTAAAAGGTCATTTAATTATTATTATTATTATTATTTGTACTTTAAGGGAACGAAGTAGATTTTCATTGGTTTAAAACGTCCTTAATGAAAAAAATGACCCGGTTACCCATTACTTTGTCATCAAGAGAGTGCCACATATTTGCCTTAGTCATTAAAAGAAGTGACACATATTTGCCTAGTCATTAAAAGAATTGCCACATGTATAAGAAAATCAACCCAAACGCTAAAGCTTCATCACCATTAACATCATTGCTGCAACTAGAGTTTACAGGATTTATCATACAACTGAACCAGAGCAAAGTGATTCCTTTTTTGACTTTTTCCTTTTTCCACCTTTCTTTTTATTTGTGATTAATATGGAAATAGATATAGGAAGCTGGGGTGAAACCATTGTCAAGAAAAAGAAACAGAATCACAGATGATTCCAACAATGGAGTTGAAGAAATTAAAGGGGAAATAATATATGAAGAAGACAAAGAAGCTTTGAAGATACGATTCAGATGTATAAATAGACTCCCTCAAGAAAAGCCATCTGACTCCATGAATCCATCTGCAACAAGGTAGTTGAAGGTGTTTACAACCCTTATTGTATCTTATATAAGCCTCGTATACATCCTTTTCCATTGTGAAGAACAAATCAAACCCAATTCCAGATGTGACACTGTGCAACAATTTCAAACCCAAATTCCTCCATCCATGACCACCGTTAACCTCGTCAACCTCCCAAGCCCTTGCTGAATTGCCGGAACTCAAACCAAAATCCTAAATCACCAAATAAAAACCCTAAATCTCTAAATCGCCCAACCCAAACCCTAAATATTTTACTTATCTTCTTCTGCTTCATGTTTTGGACTGTTGAATCCACATATCGAGTTCGACTTTGACTCTAGATATGGAGTTCGAAGACTTGTGCTTTGTCTTGCAGATTTATGACTTTCATATATGTTTTTATACATCTGGATCTGGAATCATAAGGAAAGATTTCAAGGTCGTGGTGGTCGATGGAGATGGATGGTAGTGGTGTGGTGGACGGTGTATGTGATCTATGGTGGTGCAGGTTGAGTGTTCTTCAAATGCTTTCAGCTTAAAAAATATCAATATAATGATTTATAATTATATTAAAAAAAACTTAAGTTCAAAATTAATATACAGACGGACATTATTTGGCATCGAAACCTATAACAAAAGGTAAAGGGACGATTTCAACCGGTCGTATTGTACTTCGTTCCCTTAAAGTACAAAAAAAGATAATTGAGTGCAGTGACGAGTCTAGAGTAGAAAACTACATGGTTCACTAATTTTTCTATACAAATTCAAAGATTTTATAGGTAAGGTAGTTCCTAAATTTTTTTAAGACATGTCACTAAAAATTTATATAGAAAATTTAGATAAATTAAAAAAATAGGTGGGTCATTGAACCCACCTTAGGTACACTTAGCATCGCCTCTGATTGAGTGACCTTTTAAAACAAATGTGAGAAGTTCCTTGAATTAATATGACATTTGTCCTTATTTTAAATGTACAACAAAGGAACAACAATAACAAAAATGGAAGACCTACATTTCACCGTTGATGGCTAAAGAACAAAATGATATTGATTTTACTTGATGGTTAAAATAGATATCATATTGAGTTTGTCTTAATTTATTTTAAAAAAATCGGATTGATTCCCGTAAATTCAAATATTATTATCTTCCAATCCACTCAAGTAAATTTAAATTAAATATATATATATATATATATATATATATATATATATATATATATATATATATATAAAATTGAACTCCATATAAAATTGAATCCTTAAATAAATAAAAAAACGTTAACTAAAAACCGATTATATGGAATCAAAAGGTCGGGTCGGGTTGGGTTGAGTTGGAGAGAGGGTATAAAAGAAAAGGTTTGGTGGCTCAAAAAGTTAAAAACAACATCAAAGAGGACACCTTCAAAGGACGGTAATACCATTTTTTTTTCTTCTTCTCTCTTCCACAACTGCCTCTTCCAGATCGAATCGCCCCCCCTGCAATCTAGGGTTCCGCAAATCTCCCTAAGCTCTTCCGATTACATTTGCTGAACCTCTCTTCTTCACGATCTGCCCACGTCTCTTTAACTCCTGACACTATTATTAACATTTCAAAGTACATAAACCCTTTTCCCCTTTTCAATATTTGCAAAAGATTTGATTCAATCTTACCCCTGTTTTAGCAATAGTTGGTGTCCGATTTGATTTTCTCTTCTATCGTTTTTAGGTTTTGTACCGATCATGACGATTGCTGATTCGGGTGCCCTAATGGATAACGAATCACTATGCTTGCCGTGCACTCCAGAGGAAGAGCGAAGGATTGTTAAGGAGTTAACAGATAAGGCCGAATCATGTTTGAAAGAGGGCAACTTATATTATGTCGTCTCCAACAGGTAATCTAATGTATATCTAAGTTAACTTGTAATCTGTAGTTCTTGCTTAAGATTCGGGGATGACAATTCTTGTTGAATGAGCGCTGATTTGAAGCCGAGTCTATGATTTTTGGATCTTCCTTTTGGTGTCTAGTCTACTTGTCATCTGTTTCATCCGTTGTTTACAGATCAATTTTTTCCATGAATAATCCTCTTATGAGGATCGTAAAATACGTCCTGGCCTCATTATTTTATTTTGCATGGATGTTTGGTGCGTCACTGCAAGTTCCTCATAAACATGATGAACATGCTAGTTTTGGCCAAAAAATCAAAAGATACTGCTAAAACTTTTTGACTGCTAGACTGAAAATAGAGCACACACCAGTTGACCGAGATCAAAATCATGTCATATCATATTAAAGCTTATGTATAAAACTCTTAAAAGGAACATGCAGAGTCTTAGCAAACAATTTTGTAAGCATCAGATTCAATCAATCTTAGCCATTGTTATCAGTTAGAATGCAACAATATCCGATAAGATTATGAGTTACATGTTAATGAATATGGATTTCTAAATTACTACCAGAACACTAATTTGATTGTTTACAAGTGGTTTACAAAATGGCCAATGCTCTTATCATGGATTTTCCTGTTTGTCATGTATTCAATTTGTATGTTTACAGGTGGTTTACAAAATGGCAGAAATATGTTGGTGAGGAAACTGGTGCATATCAGTTGGAAGAGCTTTCTAATGATAAACAGGCTTCAGCATCTTCAAAAGTAGGCGAGAGACCAGGACCAATTGATAACACAGATATAATTGCAAATGAAGGTGGTCATGATGGCAATGATCTACAGCTTCCTAGAACACTTGTTGAAGGAGAAGATTATGTTTTAGTTCCTCAAGGGGTTTGGGATAAGCTTCATGGATGGTATGCCAGATTTTGTTCTCAAAAACTTATATTCAATCTTATCCTTGTATTCATATTTTAAGATATAAGTTCCAAACATCACATTTAGAAAACAAGAAAATGAAAGATAATCTTGTTTAATGCTAAACTTATCCCTTAGGTACAAAGGAGGACCAGCTTTACCAAGAAAGATGATATCAGTAGGAACACGGGAGACGTATGTAGTTGAGGTGTTCCCTTTGGCATTGACATTGATTGATTCAAGAGACAAGAGTGAAATAATCATACACATAACCAAAAAGGTAAATCATCTCTTAACTTTCATCAAGATTTCTTTATTGTTACTGACCCTTTGTAATATTATATAGGCCTCATTAGGTGAACTTCATAAACAAGTATCAGCACTTAAAGGGGTAGAGTCAGAAAAGGTTAAGCTTCACAATCTGATACTATTTTAGGTTTTCTGGAATGAAAATTTCTCTACCCTTTTCCACTCATCATTTTCTTGGGTCATTTCAATTCATGCAGATACACATGTGGGACTATTTTAATAATGTCAAGCATGCAGCTTTGGTGTATTCGAATCAAACCCTGGAGGAGGCTAACCTGCAGATGGATCAATCTGTAAGTATTATTTGACAAAAGTCCCAACTACCCTTTGTCCTAAATGGATTAGAATTAGGCCTCTATTATTAATCCAGTTGTTTGTTTTTGCAGATACTTTTAGATGTGCAAGTTGATGGATTTATACCATCAGGCTGTGGCATGGATTCAACAGGAAACGAGTTAGCTTTGGTTCCCATGGAGCCACAAAGGTCAACCCGCACAATAGCAGGTGGCCCAAGTTTGTCAAATGGTTATGCAACAGATTATGGTTCTAGTTTGTATCAAGGAGTCACTTTAAGCTCAATAGATATGGAAGATGTGCATGATTCTGTTAAAACTGGCCCAAAAAGAGATAGAGGTTTAGCAGGATTGCAGAATTTGGGAAACACTTGTTTCATGAACAGTGCACTTCAATGTTTAGTCCATACTCCACCTCTTGTAGACTACTTTTTGCAAGATTACACCGAGGAGATCAACAAGCAAAACCCTCTAGGAATGCATGTATGTAAATTGTAAATTGTAATGTAACTACTAACTAGTTTGAATGTTTTGTGAAAGTGATAACCTTTTAAATACAAGAATTAAAGTTTCTGATTATTGTCATCCAGGGTGAACTTGCAGTTGCATTTGGTGAATTGTTGAGGAAACTTTGGTCATCTGGTCATACTGCAGTTCCTCCTCGGGCTTTCAAAGGAAAACTTGCACGTTTTGCTCCCCAGTTTAGTGGATATAATCAGCATGATTCACAAGTAATTCCTTTTTTTTATTAATCTCAATGTTTATATACTCTGTGATAATATTAATAACAGTATTCTTTTCTCTCTAGGAACTTCTTGCCTTCTTGTTGGATGGATTACATGAAGATCTAAATCGTGTGAAACAGAAGCCTTATTTTGAGACAAAAGACTCTGATGGACGTGCTGATGAGGAAGTTGCAAATGAGTTTTGGAGTTATCATAAAGCAAGAAATGATTCGATTGTAGTGGATGTCTGCCAGGTAATTAATATCTGAGTCAACTTAATGCATTTCTTGATGCTAAATTCTGAATGAAAAAAATCTACAGGGACAATACAAATCAACTCTGGTTTGTCCAGTTTGTGACAAAATCTCAATCACATTTGACCCTTTCATGTACTTATCTTTACCTCTACCTTCAACTGCCACCCGTTCAATGACTGTAACTGTATTCTATGGAGATGGAAGCAGCTTACCAATGCCATTCACTGTAACTGTCTCAAAACATGGCTGCTGCAAAGATCTGTTCCAAGCTTTGTATACTGCATGCTGTTTAGAGAGTGATGAAACCCTAATTCTTGCAGAGGTAATAATAATGTCTTTATTATTACTATATAAATTCATAGCTTTTATCCAAGCCCTTTATTTTATGTTTCTTGATTTTTAGGTTTATGATCATAGTATATACAAGTTATTGGAGAATGGTGATTCATTGCATACAGTCAAAGATGAAGAATTCATTGTTGCCTACAGACTCCCTAAAAAACAATCTGAATTTCCCAAGTTAGAGATTTGCCATAGATATCTTGAGAAGTAAGTTATCATTATAGAATCTACATTCATGGGTATTATTATAATAGTATGTGATTATAATAAAGCTATTTTTTTTTATTTTATTTATTTACACAGCTCAAAGGCAGGTGAGAGGAAGAAGTTCTTGACACCATTGATTACCTATTTAGAAGGTGCAAAAACAGGTGCTGATATCGAGGTAGCAGTGAACAGAGTTCTTGCTCCATTAAAAAGGAAAGCTTTTTCATCATCGACATCATCATCATCAAATGGTCAAAAAGTCAACGGGTCGGCTTCGGAACCCATGGAAGAATCCACTAGCGACTCTCTCATGGAGGAAAACAAAGACTCTGAAGAAAAGTCTAATGGGGAATTATCCTATTTTTTATGCATAGCAGATGAAAGGGGTATGAGTTGCAGACCCCTGTTAAAGGATACAGTTATAAAACCTAACAAAATGGTTAAAGTTATGCTGGATTGGACTGAAAAAGAACATGATTTATACGATGCAAATTACCTCAAGGATCTTCCCATGGTGAATAAGCCAGGTGTCGGTGTTAAAAAAACTAAACAAGAATCCATCTCGTTGTTTTCTTGTCTGGATGCATTCTTGAAGGAGGAGCCTCTAGGGCCTGATGATATGTGGTATGAATTATGGATTATAATTATTTAGTTTTTTTTATAAAAAATATTGTTTATGGTTATTGATTTTTGTTGTTTATTGATTCTCTCTCTCTCTCTCAGGTATTGCCCCGGTTGCAAGGAGCATAGACAAGCAACAAAGAAATTGGATTTATGGAGGCTGCCTGATATCATAGTGTTCCATTTGAAAAGATTTTCATACAGCCGATTCTTGAAGAACAAACTGGACACGTTTGTGAATTTTCCAATTCACAATCTGGATTTAAGCAAATATGTGAAAAGTGAAGAAACGTCTGCTTCTGGTGGGTCTAATGTTTATGAACTGTATGCTATCAGCAATCATTATGGGGGACTTGGTGGTGGCCATTACTCTGCATATGCAAAGGGTAATATAATTTAAAAAAAAAATAGTTTTTGATGAAAGCAAGTAAAAGTAAAATTTTGTTTTGTTTTGTTGTAGTTGGTTGAGGAAGATAGATGGTATCACTTTGATGATGCACATGTGACAGCTGTAAGCGAAGGTGACATCAGGACATCGGCAGCTTATTTGTTGTTTTACCAAAGAGTCAAAACAACTAAAACTAAAACCAAAACTAAACCTAACAATGGTAATGGTAATGGATCAGTATCTGTGGGAGAGTCATCATCCCATTCCCATGAGGAGGATTTTTGAAGATTAGACAACAACTAGTCAGTAATAACAAGGAAGGCCAAACTCAAACTCCTACTCTTATCTCAGATTTGGCTGATCAAGGAAAAAATATATTTTGATGAGAAGTGGGATGCATATGCATTTCAGGGATTTTGGGATTTTATATATATATAATATTTTTATATATGTTGGAAGGAAGGAAAGAAGGAAAGAAGAAAGCAGCAGGGTGGTGTAGTTATATATATTTGTTTTGACTGCTATTGGAATTGGAAACATTGTTGGTCGGTATTTAAAGGTTTTTTATTATCCATTTTGCATATACTACTTGATACTTATCATTTTAACTGACTGCCACTGGACCCTTTTTCTTTTTCATTTTCTATGCTACTACTTAGTTTATGTCAAATAAGTAATACGTAATACCAAGTGTGGAAAAAGCTGTTTGCTACTAGCTATGATGCAAAGCCGGTGGAATGAAATAAATACCTTATATTTCTGTTTAATTCGCTAGTAAATTCGAATAGGGCAATTAATATATTATTGGGTTAACATCATTAAGCCAAACTAACTATGTTTTGTTTGTTTTTCCATCCTAAGGGCATTAACTTCAGTTTTTTGGTTTTAAAATATCCTTTCCTAGAAAATGAAGGAATCCGGTAAATCTAATCCAATCAGCAAGATACATTACCATTTCATTAAACATGATCATAATGAGACTTGGTAATGATGTTACCATTGACTCCCTTTTCATTCTAGATCTAGTCTTACTTTTTGAGCATCATCCTCGGTCCATCTGCTTGGATCCTTCATAGCGTCTACAAGTCTATTGTAGTCAACCGAGGGAATATAGACAGTCATTGTGTTTTATACAGCTAGAAAATTATCAAGATTCAGTTTAGGGGCTTTGCCATACTACTATCATTGCCAAAAACGTTAAAAGAAGTCATTGCAAGATATATGTGGCATCAAATCAAGTGATCTGCTCCTAAATGTTAGTTATATATAACTCAAAAAGTAATTAATAAATATTAGGGTTGTAAACGAATACGAACATGAGCTTGTTTGTCTTCGTTGCTTAAGTCAACCGAACAACCAGATGCGTTTTCTTGTTTATGTTCGTTCATTTAACAAATTATCTTGTTTATGTTTGGTTATTGTATAAAATTATACTTATAATATTATAAAGAAAAGAGAGTGCAAGTGGAGCTTCTAGGAGTGGTTTTAGTTTTACAACTTTTGGATTTCATAAAAAGTATCCAAGGACACAGTTAAATATGATCTATCAGTAAATAATAAACGAAAAAACATAAATGAAAGAACGAGACCATTGTTCCTAGCTTCCAAACGATTCACTTAACGTTCCTTTTGTCTACAACCCTATTAATAATATGATCCTCTATATTTATAGGTGGAATGTGAAAACAATTCTATCAAGTCTAAAACTTTTTATGTTAAAAAATTTATATGCAAACCAATCCTTAACTTGTACATAAATAAGTTGATACCAGCTAGCTGCATAGTTTAAACAAGTTTTTTTTATTTTTTTAATGAAATGCTAATTCCTATACAAGACATAATCTATAATAAAGATCAATATGAATATAAGATAAGTTCGTGGACTCTATCATATGACTATGTTGTTAGCTCGATGCTAAGCAAACATGATTTGCAAATGAATACACCCCAACCTTAATTTTTTAAGCATCTAAAAGTGTCTTGGGTCATGCTATGCATCGACATATGTAGTAAAAATAATATTAGACTGCTTTCCCTACAACTTTAGTGCATTTTGTGCTCCCCAATGAAATTACTAGGTATTACCGCATTAGTGATCATGGAAGGATCATTTCAATAAACATGTTGCCCTTTGCGTGATAGATGTTGGGACCACTTACCAATGAGCAAGATTTGTCCAAGTGTTCATTATTAGTTGCAATGATTAGACGTTTCACCAAATTATTATATGTTTATAGCAACATGTGCGTGTTTTGACATTATTGCTAGATACATCTTTTCGAAGCATCAATAACTACTAATCTAACTTAGACACGTGATACATTAGTTTCTATTCTTCACACCTTTGACAGTTGTTTGAACACTTCCAAATCCCTTGTGTTTGGTTGTGCATTTAGGCAGAGGCGGAGCCAAGATTTTTTAATAAGGGGCTTACGTAGTAATAATATATTAAAATATATTTTATCTTTAAATGATAAAAAAAAGTCTTTAAATTTGAAAAAAAAATTGACAAATAAAAAGATCACCTAAATAAAACTTATAATGTTTTTTTTCCGGATTTCACTATGGATCATACATTCTTAAAATAAGGAGTAAATCTAAAAAAACTATAATATAAATATAGGTATCCAACTATATGTGTAACAGTTTAGTAATAAAAATATAAGAGATGTATATTAACCTCTCTCTCCCTCTCTCTCTCTCTCTCTCTATATATATATATATATATATATATATATATATATATATATATATATTAAGTATTTACATTGTTGTAATGAAAATGTTGTTGGATTAGTGTCTAAGCACGTAACTATATTTGGTAAGTATTTGACCCGGTTGTGCATGGTCCTTTTGGGTTGCCTTCACCAAAACAACTTGATAGGATGATTTATGAGGAGAGAGGATTAATTATGATTTATTAATATATTATATGAATAATATATTAAAGGAGAAAGCATATTGTTTAATTAATATTAGTCAAAAATTAATTAAGAATTAGTTTTATGGCTAAAAGAGATTAATTAAACTTAGGGGACTAGAATTGTAATTATAAGATAATTGCAATTGGGCTATGGATCACCTTGGAACATAGGTAGGACGAATTCTATGGGAAGCCCATAAGGAATTCGTCCAAGGGGTGTTCTAAAGGGAGTCCATGGGCTGCTTGGAGCCTAAGCAGTCAAATTAGGGTTTCCTTGTTTGATAACCCTAATAGTCTCACTATATAAAGACCCCTATGGCCCCAAAAACGTGATGAACTCTTTTGGAAGAACCCTAGAACGTTTTTGGTGCCTCCTCCCTTTTCTTTTTGTTCATCCTCTTGCTTGTGGTGTTTGTAAGCCATTAGAGGAGTGATACTTATGACTCTAAGCTCCAAGACAAGAAGATTCAAGCCATTCTTGAAGAGGTAATCATCTAGATCTATTCTTATATGTTAATTTCAAAATTTATATGCTAGATTAGGGTTCTTGAGTCTTGGATGAATTGCATGTACAATAGAGAAACGTAGATCCAATCATTAGGGTTTGTATGAGCACATAGGATGTTCTTGTGTATAAAACCCATCAGTGGTATCAGAGCCTTGATTGGTTTCTATTGTATTGATGCTTAGTGTTTCATTCTTGATTGCAAAGTCGAGTTTTTGGCCATCTGCCTGACAAACTCGTCGAGTCCCAATGTGGACTCGTCGAGTAGGATGAACTCGGCGAGTCCATATGGTGACTCGGCGAGTCTGGCTGTCAGACAGACGAATTTTCGGATTTTTTTTGCCTATTTTGACTTAGGATAATTGCCATAATTGTTTCAAATTAATAAAATACGAATTTTATTGATTCCTTATGATTATCTTTGTGAAAATAAAAGATTTTGGTCATCTAATTAGATAATTGTTACCTTGTTTGATAAATGTTAAATTATTTGAATTATTTGGTCAATTATCTTGCATGAAATTGGATTAGGTCAACAATTAGATAATCACCAATTAATTGTTTAATTGCCTTATTTGTATTTTGATCTAGATAGTTTTGAAAGGTTTCAAAACTTGCCATCAAGTTTTGGAATTTAATTTTTTGATTAAAGGTTTAATTTTGAAATTTTAAATTATAAAACCCTAAGTTTTGAAAAGTTCAAATTACACCCTTATGGTTTTATTAAATTAATTAAGTGTATAATTAAAAGAAAGTTAATAAATCCATAGTGACATGGTTTATATTTAATTAAATTAAAAGTGTAATTTATTAAAGTAGACCACATAGTATTTTAAAAGTGTAAAATGCACCCTTATACTATATATAACATTAAAAGTATAATATTATATATGTATAACTTAAATGCTAGTCTTACCGTTAGTAGGCCTCATTCACGAAGCCGATCTATAAGAGGGGGGGGGGGTATAAAGTTATGGCCTATAAAATGGCCGTTTAATGGGTGTCCACTCTCACCCACCGCTTCCTTGATTGGTGGAGGGTCGTTAGCCGAATGGGTAGGATATGGCAAACCCTTTCCATTAAAAGTATAATGAATTATAAAGTAACTAAATGTTTACAAAATTCCCAATCTTAGTTACTTTAAGCAAAAGTGAATTTGATGTAATTCCATGAAATTACACTTTGTACCCTTGCTAAGACGTTAGTGGAGCGTGTGTGGTTAACCGACACACTAAATGGGCTCTAAGAAAAGGTGGAAAAGGGTGACTCGATGTTTGTCATAGATCGATGGAGCGTGTGTGGCTAACCGACACGTCGATTAGGTGATTGTAACATTGGGGGCACCATGTATATTTGCATGGTTATTCACACCCTATTTTGTGATCCTCGGCATCCCAGTCACAAAACGAAGGGCATATCGAGATTTAAACATGCCATTGAAAAGTTCAATGAATCTCAAAAGATCTAGGAGTTTTCGGTACATTTAAAACTTAATCTCTATTTTCGTTTTTCATGGTGGAAAAATTAGTGAATCGTCATTCACTTACCTTCAAATATTCTGCGACCAGATTACGGCATCCCTCTTCCGTGTTGTAGAATATTGTGTTGGTTCCTACCTTAATATCTCATTTGGGTGTTTTATTAAGGACTCAATCAACTAACTTGAATTTTCTCCCGTTTTGTAGATATCAAAGTATGACAACTATGGTCTTCCCAAATCCCTTGGAACAAGCTTTCCACATGAAGATGATATTCCACGATTCGATCGAGGAACAAGAGATCATGCTTCACTTCCTCCACCTCCTCCTATTATTCTCCCTGACCCACAAGTTCAAAGGCTTGAAAAGTTCAAGCTCACTCAAGCTCTTTTGGCAAGTAAACACGAAGAAGGAAAGTCAGTGTGTGCACACGTCTTAGAGATGAAGCTGCACATTGACAGGTTAAGAATGTTGGGAGTCGTTGTCTGTGAGAAGCTGGTTGTTGACTGGGTTCTTCAATCGCTTCCCGACTCATATAGTGAGTTCGTAATAGAGTACTATATGAAAGACCACGACGTAACCCTTATCGATCTCACCTATTTGCTTGTTGCTGCTGAATCAACAATGATTTGGCACACTGGAGAAGCAAAGTTGATTGGTAGATCTGCCTTCCAAACCTCCATGGACAATGGGAACGAAAGGCATGCCATGGTCGA